ATAGATACTCGTCACCACACCTATACGTCGTACACTACACTAGCACATAGCAATTAAAGCACAATACCTATTCGCTCAAGCTAAGGTTAGACTAAACACTTACCTCAATACCGCGAACACAATTCAAGCGTCAACTACCGTTTTACCTCTTGTTTCCACCACCAATGCGCTTGTATCTAGCCACAATTTAATTAATACTATTAATAAATGCTAAATGAATCAATTCTAATGCATGAAAATGGGTTTTCAAATGATTTCCCAAAAAGTCAAAAATTGACCCCGGGCCCGCTTGGTCCAAACCCGAAATTCGGACCAAAACCCGATTACCCATTCACCCCTAAGCCCGGATATACAACTGGTTTTGGAATCCAACCTCGATTTGAGGTCTAAATCCCCAAATTTAAATATTCCTAAGTTCTACCCAAAATTCCCAATTCCACCATGAAAACCCTAGATTTTAGGATGAAATCCTGTAAAAAGAAGTTAAGGAGTGAAAGAAATGAGTTTAAAATCACTTACTTGTGTTTTCGAGAAGAAAGAGTGTTTGAAAAATCGCCTCTTATGTTTTAGGTTTTTTGAAAAATGAAAAATGGCTGAAAAGGCTCGTGTATATATACCCCTCTCAGATCCTCACCGTTGACCGCAGAAAAAGGATCGCGGCCGCGGAGCTCCACCGCGAGCCGCGAAATATCGAGCGCGGCCGCGAAGACTAGCCTTGCTCACCGTTGACCGCATAAATCCCACCGTGGTCGCGAAGAGCCCACCCCAATCGCGAAGACCCCACCGCGGACCGCGAAGCTTGGCTTAAGAGACCTGCAACTTTCTCTGAACCTGCAACTCTTATGTTCTAAGTCTAAATTCACTCTGTGGCCTATCCAAAATTCACCCGAGCCATCGGGGCTCCAAACCAAACACCCACGCAAGTCTAAAAATATCATACGGACTTGCTCGTGCAATCAAATCATCTAAATAACATCAACAACTACGAATTAAACCTCAAATTCATGAAATCACTCAAGATCATCAAAATTACTATCTTCTCAACTATAGGTCCGTTTTATACCAAACCAATTTCGATCTTTACAAAATTTTACAGATTCAACTTAATCATTATCTCAAACTTGTACCGAGCTCCGGAACCAAGATACGGCCCGATACCATCAATTAAATGCATCAATTCACTTCTAAAAACCTTTACATTTTTCAGAAAACAATTTTCTTTAAAAATTTATTTTTCAGGCTGGGGACCTCGGAATTCGATTCCGGGCAGACACCCAAGTCCCATATTCTACTACGGACCCTACGAGACCGTCGCATCACGGGTCCGGGTCCGTTTACCAAGAATGTTGACCAAAGTCAACTTTATTCAGTTTTAAAAGCCAATTTCTATATTATACTTAGTTTCCACATAAAAAAAATTCGAAAACGCGCCCGAACTGCGCACGCAAATCGATGTGGGACAAAAAGAGGTTTCTAAGGCCTCGATACACAGAATTTTACTTTCAAAACGAGTGATGACCTTTTGGGTCATCACATTGATTAATTGATTTTCTTAACTTGGGTAGACAAAATATTGTTCCTTTTCTCAATTAGGATGGTGCCTTTGTTAGATAAATAAGATGAAAATGTGAAACTGGACGTACTAGGAAGAATATACTCTTTGTGCCAATTTGTTGTTTTGCGTATCCTTTTAGGATTTGGCTCTGGCTTCTAAATGAGACTCGAACCAGCTGAGGTGCCTAGGAATGGGATGAGTGAGGTGGTTAAATTGGCAACAAATGTTGTCATCTTGCACCAATCAAAATGCAGGGAGTAATAGAATTTCAACAGTCATGGCTCCAGGTGGGTTGTGAAAGTTGACAGAATTCCGAAAAGACTTAAAAAAGTTAAAATAGTAAACAATGAGTAAACAAAACATTGGAGTCAACTATATCAGCTTCTGTATGTTATCCTTCATAGGATTCATTTTACCAGATGAAGACATTAAGTTAATCACCAGATGATATACTCTGAACAAACACAAATATTAGAAAATTCAAACAACTTAAAGAAATAGTTTAAAAATTGAATCTTGAAGACACCCAGAATAAAATTCAATTAAATTAGTCACCAAAAACTTTATAGATGATAATAATTAAATTTTTAAGTCACCCACGAAAAAATTCAATCAAATTAGTCAATACAAGCTTTATAATTACTAAAGACCGATAAAAAATTGGATCTTGAAAAAAAAAACAGAAGAGAGAGATAGAGAGATGTGCCTGAAAAGAGGTTTAGATGGAAGTACTGAAGTCACCGGCATCGATTTGTTAGGATCTGTGTTCCACCATAATTAGAGACCAAATTCCATGTTAGGAAGAAGGGGAAAAGAAAAAATAAATTCTATAGGAAATGCCAAATACATATACAGATAGCCACTAGGCATGCCTAGTGGTATATCTGCTAAAAAAAAAATACACATACAGAGATAAAGATGGAGAGAGAAAGGAGGTGACTGACAAAACTTTAACCTACGATCCAGAAACTCACTTACGATCCTAAGTGGATTGTACTTTTAGCCAAATCCATCATTTTTTTGTATTTTGCACCCTTAAGTATACATAATTTTCCTGTTACACCCTATCCTTCTCTTTTAACAATTTCCCCTAATGTGTTTCTTTTTTCTTCTTTTTTAGAATTGTATGTAAATATTACTCCCTACGGTCCAAAATAAGTGACTTTTTGGGTTTTTTCTTGTGGTCCAAAATAAGTGATTTTTTCAAATTTCAAGAATGAATTAATTATTTTTTTCCTACATTGTCCTTGAAGTAAATGTTGTTGGAATATGTGCTAGGAGTGTTTATGTGAGATAGTAAAGGTTAATATGGTCAATTCCATTGCTAATCAATGCTAAAAGGTGAATTTCTTAATTTGTATGAAAATATCTAAAAAATCACTTATTTTGGACCGAAGGGAGTAGTATTCATTTCGAAAGGGTTAAAATAAGATAATAATTCTTTTTTCTATTATTTTTTTAAAAAGAATTACACATAAGTACAACCCATACGCATCAATCATGCATCTTAGTCATAACTTTGCAGATCTATAGCCAATCTTAAATATTGAAACTTCAGCAATTTTACTTCTTATCTCATCGGTACAAAGCCAATAATTGAAGTAACAAAACTAAAAGAAAAATAGAGATCGAGGGTCGACAATATAAACACCAATAAATTTTTGTGTTAAATTAAACATTCACCTTTTTTTTCTTATGGCAAAACATGATTTATATAATGAAATATTCTAATCTTTTAGTACATTTTAAGTGGTGAATCATTTAAGTTTTCACACATCAGATTGTCCATCAAACTTTAATTTAAAAGTGTAAATTTTTATGTGCAATATTAACTTAATCATTTGAGAAGTTCCACATCCGCACTCTTTGCCCCTCCGTTATATAGATAATATTGATTATACATTGCTGATACAAACTATTATGTGGTTATGAGTTTTTATCCCAACTTTCGAGTTGTAGCAGCAAGTATTGGACGATTCAACTCGTCAATAAGTTCACAACTTTACGCGAACAATTTTGAATTCTACACTGAGACAAGATACACCCAGTTTCAGATCTGAAACTTAAGTATGCATAATTTTTCTATTACACCCTGTCCTTCTTTTTTAACAATTTGTCCCCTAATATATATATATATATATATATATATATTAATACTATTTTCTTACTCTNATATATTTTGCATAAATGTAAATGCTATTAATTTCGAAAGGGGCAAATAGGATAATAATTCTTTTAGAATTACACATAAGTACAACCCATACACATAAATCATGCATCCTAGTCATTACATTGTAAATCTATAGCCAAAAATAAATAGGGCAATATACGTCAATACGATTTACTTTAGGTTTAGTGTTTCTAAGGAGTCTTTTGGTCATGTCAGAACGCCTTTACTTGTACTTAATATTATATTGGCAAATCGAACACTATATAACCCCCCCCCCCCCCC